TTTAGTTGATCAGAAATATCTAATTCATTAATTCTTTTCTTAACATAGCAATCTTTTGCCATATGACCGGTTTTACCACATTTATAGCATATTATAAGATCTTTTGATTCTTTTTKATTGGTTTTATTGGGTTTTTTATTAAATTTTTTGTAAGACTCCAAAAGTAATTGAATAATAGTCTGAAACTCCTTGAACAGTCATTTTTTGCATTTGATCAGTTGGAAGCTTTTCCCACCAATTTTACTCTAGAAATCCTTTGTAGTAATGGCGGAGAAGAACCGGTTGCATCAATAACTTTGAAGGTCCATGATAAAATCCATGGTACTTTGAATATTACCKTAAATTGAAGAAGAAACTSAAATTCGGTAATTTCTTGAACAAAGATTTCTTGAAATTTTTTGAATCCTTCCATTACTCTTGGAGGAAGGGTTTGAGGAATATTTCCCAAAAATTTGAACCATCTAACAAACCATCTTGGATAGGTGCAATCAAAATTTTTGTCAAAGTACAAAAACCATGAGTGCGTATAACTTCTTAGATACAAGAAATTGTACCATGCGTCTTGATAATCATAATAGTTGTAGGATGGGTACTGGCTAAAATTCTGTAAAGGCTTGCTGTAATAAAGTTGAGATCCCCAGTCTTGAGTAGAGAGGACATGAAGGATTTGAACTTTACTGAAATCGATTTGAGCATAATTGGCTTGATTCAATCTATGAACAACTCGAATAGATTTAGATTCTATAAGAATTGCTTCATAATATTCTCTGGTTTTAAAMGAATCTCCMATGAATAAAGAATGTTTCTGAAAAAGATAATCATTGAGCACATGAAATCCTTTGCCTTGAAGACGAACTTCATGTTCTTCAAGAATTTTGACTGTTTGATTATAGGGATTTAGTAAATAAGAACTTGAACTTGRATCAGATTTCGTTGGAGTGGAAGGCTTTATAGGACTACTCTGGGCAAAGGGTGTCTTTTGAATGGTTTTCGGAGGAGTAGGAGCAATAGATTTTGATGTTGATGAAGTTGTATCATTACTTGACTTTTCTGAATAAAATGGGCGAGATGGTGTTTGAGAAAGAGAAGAGAATCTATTTTGAGTAGGAGTAACTGGGATGATGGATCGATCAGTTTGAATAGATTTGAATGGAGAAAGGGCTTTTTCTTTTGATCAGATAACGGAGAAGTCATTTTCCCTGTAGAAATTCTCTGGATAAGAAATCTGGTAAAAAATTATCTTTTCCTTTAATAAATTCAATTTGAAAATCGAAGTTTCCAAGCAAGGCTTGCCATCTTGCAAAGATTTGTTTTGAAATCATATTTTTTATATCATTTTCTAAAATTGGTTTTGCAGACTGACAATCAATTCTTAATAAAAAAGGTTTAATGTATAAGTCATCTTCGAACTTTTTTATACATAAAACAATACTTAAAATTTCCTTTTTAATGGTTGAATAGTTCTTTTGAGTGTCATTCCAAGCACCTGAAAAATATCTAACTAATTCTTTTTTATTTTGATCATTTACCTTTTGTTTGAGTATTCTTCCAAATCCTATGTCACTAGCATCGGTTTCGACTACTAACTGGGTATTAGGGTTAGGAATATGAAGACATGGTAAATATTTGACTTTTTGTTTTATATGTTGAACAATTTGGGTATGTTCTTGATCTCAACTACTTCAAATCAGAAGAAAGAAGACGAAGAAATTGATCAAATTTTAGCCACTGAATCAAAAGAAGAACTCAAGCGACTTCTTCAAGAACTTAGACGTCGGAGCTCTCCATCAAGCAGCTCTCCCGCTGGTTCTACGTCTCAAGTCCCAGCTTCTCAAAATTTATTTCAAGATAGTCAAGATCCTTATCAGGATTATTTTTAATCCTTAAGGTGTTGAGTGTGTTGGGTATTGCTTTTGCAAGCAATTCTTTGTATCTATTCAAAATATATCTTATCAAAACACGTGAAATACGCTCTTTGGTATTTCCGATAACATCTTGTTCAAATCTTTTATCTTATCAAAAATATGCAGATTTATGATGCGGTCAGCTGAATTTCAAGGTGATAATAATGCTCAAGGTGATAATAATGCTCTTTGTCATTATAAAAGATGTTGTTGCTTTATGAAGAATAGACGTTATCGTCATGCTTTATGCAAAGTATGAAGAATAGACGTTATGGTCAAGACATTATGGTCAAAAGCAGATTCGATATGTTGGATCCATTAAGACAACGACAAAATAGGACGATTGATTCAATTTGTCAGACAAATTCCAATTATTCAACATCAAGGCAAGGTGCCGGTTTCAAGCTCAAAAATTTTGGAAGATAACTGGAAGGTGCCAGTCGTTCAATTCCAAACTTCAACTATAAAAGACGATCAAAACTCTACAACAACATCATCCATTCCTTTCTCGGAAAATACTCTTTTCCTCTCATAAAATCTTAGTGTTAGAATTTTTAGTATGTTATGTCAAAAAAACCCTCTCTCAAATTCTCAACCTCTCAATGTTCCAAATCTTTAGATTTTAATCTTACCATTGCTCCTGATGTATGCTCAAATTGTCTCGACAACAATTGTATTCAAGATTGCTTAATCAATAAAGGTATCTTTTGATCATTATGCTTGCTAWTTTCAATACTATATCACTAATCTGTGTTTAATTTCATTTATGATGAACGATCCTGTCCGATTTCACCGCACCATATGAATGGAATGTTATGTCATTTGGTCTCAAAAATGCTCCATCCGAATTTCAAAATATTATGAATGATATTATTAATCTTTTAAGCGATTTTGCCATCGTTTATATTGATGATGTTTTAATCTTTTCAAAATCTATTGATCAACATTTTAGACATTTAGATCTATTTTATAATTTAATTCATAAAAATGGTTTAGTTGTCTCTGCATCAAAAATGAGTA